CTGTCCCGGGCCTGCTAGAGATCATCAACTAACACGACCAATGCCGTCTCCGTGCTGTACCCGGGCCTGAAACCCGCCTGAAACGGATCCAGGTAGGCAGCTTCATCCAGGTACTGGGGAAGTTGACGTGCTACCACGCTCTCAACAACCTTCACTACAAAGTGGAGGTTGGAGACCAGACAATAGTTGGCTAAAGAAGCTAGGGTCCAGGGAAGGCTTCTTAAGGAGGGGCTTCACCACTTCTTAAGAAGGGGCCTCACCACTGCCTCCTTCAAGGTGGTGGGAAATAATCCATCTCTCAATGAAGCATTGGTAATCACCTGGAGCCAGCCTCGTGTCACCTCCCGGGAAGCCGAAACTAACCAGGAGGGACACAGAACAAAGAAATCCCCGTGCACGCATACCTCAAATACTCCCCCATCTCATTAGAATGGCAAGCTTCCAATAGAGATCTATGGGACCTGTCAATATGTTTAGGGGTTTGGATTGGACATTTTATGAGGACAGCCAGGTTAGTCTAGGATGGCATAAAAATAACAGGAATTTAGCTACACCTTTTGTCCATCTTGATTTCATTAAAGGCTGCATCAGTGTTGTGTTTGACCTGGGGGGGGAGGGTGGTTGTGGCCAGCTTGACATCATTCGTGTCGCGGGGTGCCTATGGTGGCCCCAGCACTCTGCCAGTGATAATGGTCTCCTGAGCTTCGTTTTTAACTGGGATGGTCTCCTGTAATCCTCTGCCAGTGAAAATGAAGCTTGGGAGGGTCTCACAAGGCCCTCCTGAGCTCCATTTTCACTGGCAGAGGCACCACAGGCTTGTCCTTCCCTGTTTTCAGGGCAGCCCCGTGTGCCAGATCAGGGATGAAGTATCCATATGCTGCCTAAATATACTATTCTACTGTCGTATAGATCTTATCATTAGCACAATTCCCCTTACATTTAAATGAAACTTGAGTAGCTGTAATGTATGTCCACTGTGTCCTGGTTTGAATATTTAACTGAAAACTTATCAGTGGCTGAGATAGAATTTAGAAAGTCAAATTACTGAATTGGTGAGCCAAGGCAAGAAGAAAAGAATTTAAAAATAAAAACCAAATATATGAGAAATCTAAAGCAAGGCCACTTTCATTATATGGTTGTGCTATTTAAGCTGATTTCAAAACAGGATATGTGAAGGGCAAAAAGCAGAAGTGGTTAATCTGTCTAGTTTGTTAGCTTTGTTCAATAGTAGTAACTGTGAAAGGGATCTTGGAGTCCTAGTGGACAACCATTTAAATATGAGCCAGCAGTATGCACAGCTGCCAAAAAAGCCAACACAGTTCTAGGCTGCATAAACAGAGGGATAGAATCAACATCACGTGAAGTGTTAATACCACTTTATAATAAGGCCACACTTGGAATACTGCATTCAGTTTTGGTCGCCACGATGTAGAAAAGATCTGGAGACTCTAGAAAGACTGCAAAGAAGATCAACAAAGATGATTAGGGGACTGGAGATTAAAACATATGAAGAATGGTTGCAGGAGCTGGGCATGTCTAGTCTGATGAAAAGAAGGACAAGGGAAGACATGATAGCAGTGTTCCAATATCTCAGGGGTTGCCACAAAGAAGAAGGAGTCAAACTATTTTGCAAGG